TTCATTATAGATACTAATGGATTGATAATGCTTGGAGTACCCATTCCAACATCCATCCTAAGATTAGGATGGATGTTGGAATGGGTACTCCAAGATTATCATATTTATGATCATATTTGCTACTTATTCTGTAACATCCATATACTAGTTATTACTGTTACTATATTTAAGCATTTAGTGTGCGGACAAATTTTTATTGTCAACAAGAAAAAGCTTGGTACCATTGATAATATTTAGGTTATGGAAGATTGCCATGACTGTATTGAAGCAGCTATTGCTGTGAAATACAGATTTGTGTCGTTGTTACAGTTAGCTGGTGTTGATAGCAAAGTTCTATTCAGTTGTTTACTGCCATTTGAGGATGAGTTGGCAGAAGTTTTCAAGGTATGTGGGCCAGTGCTTTCTTGAATATCACTTTAAAAGCTTAATTTTTTTACTTTTTGTTTAATTTTTCAGAATTATCTGATATGCGTTCGCGAATTAGTACGTGAAGAAGTAGGAACCGAAGAAATAGGCGCTGAATGGACTGAACGAGTAATTCAGGATCTCACATCTCAGTGGACCATTGCAAAACGCTTTGCTGTAAATGTAGTTTGTGGTGAGAGTGAAACAGTGCATCGATTCTGGTTATTATTTTTCTTGTTTATAAAAATATTGCGAGATTAAAGTCTTATTTAAATCTTATTTTACTTTCTTTATTACAAATATGTGCTTGGCTCAACTGATTATTGTGGGAAGTTTTCTTACTTTTCTATTATATCTGAGGTTTAGTTGCAGTTCAGGGTAGTTTTTACAGCGTAATTGCTGGTGATTTGATGCGAAAGATGGTCAATGATTATTTGCCAGAAAAAGAAAGTTTGATGGAGGAATGTAGAAGTGCGTTTGAAAACGCGCCTATTAGTGGCTTTTATGATTGCGAATTCCTACGGCCTCGGTAAAATCATTAAATCCAAGATTTTATTTTTGCAGACATAGGAGTAAATGACAGAAAATTTTTTTTTTTTAGAGTATGAGTTACTCTTGTAGCTGTAAAAAGAACAGAGTCAATATCATATTTAAACATAACAGTTTATTTTTATCATTTTTCTCCAGTTATTGTGACCTTAATGTAAAAGTAAATGCCATTTCCTCACTAAATTCATCTTGCTTTGCGTTATGACTCGTTGATAATGGATTCAAATTTATTAACAGGTTTTTTGGTTGTCTTATAAGCACTAAATTTACGAACTATTCAGACAAGCATCGCAAATATTCATTGCGTGTAGACATTTTAAATCACTTATTGGTCAGATGAAAGACCGCTCACTACGATCGCTTGCATTTGTTCGAACGCTTTTAATGGATATTGAAATATGTGCTCTGTATCGGTTTAAATATGCTGAAATTGATATTTACATATCTCAGTTGCTCGATTCTCATCATTCTTTGGTACTGTGTCACTGTTTCTTTGAAGCGTCTTGTATAATTCATGGTTCAGAATCGTTTTGTAATACTTAAACTTGCTTTTAATACTAATAATTCAGTTCATCTTTTTCAATTTTTCAGGTTATAATTTCTAATGATTTACCAAGTGTTAACAATAATTACATCATATTCTGTGATAAGAACGCATCGGAAAATGCCGATTTCGTTCGCATATTACTCAACATTACATGCTCTCGTTATAGTTCTGAACTACCGAAATCCATTACTAATTGGCAAGTGCCAGTAATATACCTTTTTATATGTGTGTCACAAATTTCAGAAATTTAATAGGTTTTCAACTTATATTTTTTCTCATCACGTTATTTCAGCACCGGTTATTTATTGATAATTCGTCTTGAAACATGTTTTTCTGGCTTTGTTCAAAATAAGTGGATTGGATCACGTTTGATAGTTGAACTTGATGT